AATTACAGCGTTGGTGTTTACGCGGAAGGAGCAAATTTGACTACCCCAACGCCGGCTCAGATTCACTCCAACGCTGTAAGGAAAGACGACATGGTGTGCAAGTCGGGCGCTAGCTGGTGCCAAATTGGCGCAAGCCGCAGAGGCGTCCAGGCACCCGTTTGGACGGCATGAGCGACAGCAGGGTCTGCCCACCCTAAGCGACTCAAGGGGTCGCTGAAGTTTTGTTGGGAGGGGACCCACTCAAACCAAGGGTTACATCGCAGGCGAGCAAATTGAAGGCCTGCCAGCAGGGACAAGTGACCAACGTCCGCAGCTGAGGAGGCAGATCGAATGATAGCTCGCCAGGCTGCTTGGTTGTCAAGGAACCACAGGATGTCGCGATTTCTGAGAAGTTCTGGAGCAGATACTGCGAGCAAAGGAACGGCGAGTAGTTCAAGTAGGTTGATGTAAGTCTGGCGAGGTGCCCAGGTCACAATAACCTCTTTGGGAACATCAATGCTGTCAACCCAAATACGCTCATCACACAAGATCCAAATGCCTAGGCGGAAGCCGAGCGGAGTTGGCGCAGCAGTCGATGCGTCAGTGTAGACGATGACGGGTTCCGTGAGTCGGGGGTATACGGGCACACGGCGAGATGGTACGATCGAGAGGGCCAGCTGCAAGTACTGAAGGCAGAGTGCCAAGCTGGGAGTTAACGCATTGGTGTGGTCGAAGTACTGCCGGGCGATGAGGCCGGAGAAGGCAGCCGTAAGAGGTTTGCCCAAGAGCGACATTTCTAACCAATTGAGGAGGCCACGGGCCTTAGCGGCTTCAGCAGGTGTGACACGACCACTGGACAAGAATGCGGACAACATCCGCAGCGCTCGCTGTTTCGTTTCAGGACAAGATGTGAGGGTGACAACATGCTCGTCATTGAGACGGGAGAGGTCAGTGACCATTCCCAAAAAACGGGGCATGGAGGTCATATGTTGGCGCTTATGGTGTCCTATGAGAACGCCAAAAGTCTCCAAAATGCGGATGAACAGAGTCTTGCGAGCACCAGCGAGGTGGGCATACTCAAACTGTATAGAATCATCAAAATAATGTCCGGCAACCATCGAAAAAACACGACGACAAACAGCAGTGAAGAGTTGCGGGGCGCGATTAAACTGATTGACGGCCGACGCAAGGCCGAATGGCAGACCGTATAACTGAGCATAGACACGTTTTTTTGGAATGTGGATGAACAAAAGTGATGATGTTTACACACATATGATCTTTCAAGGGATGGTTTTGGCGGTAGCCCTTCCAAAGGTCTTCTGTGCCAGCCACAACCTCGAGCCAAGGCATATGTTGAGGTAAGTCGCTGGGGGAAGCTGCCGGGTGGTGAGACCGAAGAAACTGTAATGCATCCTGGTACCAAAACTTAACAACAGCTAGAGGGAAGTCAGGTCTTTGGTTGACAATTGCCTCGTGAAGCTGGGTGCACTCATTGTGCCTCCCGGTTCTACCATCGTCCACTGGGCGTTCTTTGTCATGCTGGTGAACTGTGTGGCGTTTCAAGGGGCGCCATTGACCGACACCATAGAGATTATCAAAAAAGGCTCGACTGTGGAACGACCCCAAAAGACCTAAATCTTGTTCTTTGGTACTTTCTTCGAGAATGATGGCAGCGGAGGGGTGAAGACGAAGGTCAGATTCGAGCGCATCAACATAAGATATGGCATCATGTCCCAGAAGAGCTACCTCAGGTAAGGGCTCAGGAGACGTGGGCCTGAATATCCCAGACGGAGGGATGCTTCCAACAATCGGAAAACCCCGACACAAACACTCTGGCAAACCACGGTCAGGCCAGTCCAAAATACTGACCAGTGCGGCCGTCAGGGCGGGACGGAAACCGGGAACGTGGTGGACATGTCGAGCTGCTAACAACACATTATCTATGGGAAGCAAAGCTCGCCCCAGGGAGCGGAAAGCCGCGTAACTCTCATTGCGGACCCGCATGATATCCAACCCTGCGCAAACAGCCTCATGCACCGCGAACTGCAAGTCCTTTTCCAACCAAATTTCTTGTGCAAAAGGGCTAGACAAAGCGAGGGCTGCTTGCAAATGCTGCCTGGGAGGCAAAGACACGTCAATGAAGGGGTCGACCATAGAAGCACGGGATTGTTTCATAGAACGTGCAGGGTCGAAGTGTCGCAGGGCTTCCCAGTCAAGGCCAAAGGGGTTGTCAAGACCATGTTGGGCCGCCCAAACGTGGAAACGTTGGAAAGGTTCTAATGGAACAGTCACAAAGGATTTCCATGCTGTAGCTATGACCTCATGAGGAATGTCCGACATAGGCAAAAGGGATAATACATCACGAAACCAAGATTCCGAGGGCTTGTCAGCGCCAGGAGAAGGAGAAGCTGCAGGGACGACCTCACTGCTGGTCAGGCCAGCAGTGAGGAGTTGTCCCTAGCCCCGAGACTTCTTGTTGTGGTTGAGGGCGTGGTGTTGCCAGGCTCCGCAAAAACCTCCCTCAACTGGAAAGGAGCACCGATGGAGCTTCTTCTCACTGCATTCGGCTTGGCGACGAGTACACTGTCCCTTGTTCCACTTCTCGCACAGGTCCTTGGCGGAAATGGTCTTCCCTGTGGATGTGTCGACCTGAGAAGACCCAGCCCGGTCAACGCGGAGGCGTTTCGGCGCTGGGGGCTCAGGAGGCTTGGAGGACAAGGCGTCATCCACAGCACCAACGCCACTACCCCCGACCTGCCATAGGACTGCTGTCTTGGATTCATGCTGTTTTGAGAGCTTCACCCAAGGGCCATTCGTCTTGGTACAAGGTGATGGCGGCCAAGCGTGTTTGGCGATCTCGGTCGAGGAACCATTGGATGGCCTGCGTCACAGTTCCGGGGTAGCGCCGAAGGCGCTCTGCAGCAAAGGTGCGGTAGGCCAGGTTGTCGGACATGGAGAACTCCAAGACTTTGGTTCCCGGGAGTAACTTTGAGTCTCGCTCTGCTGTGCCAGCCATGGCCCAGCTGTTGAGGAGAATCTCATGAGCACGAAGCAAGCTGATGAGGTCTTTGAAGCTGACGGCCGGAGGCTCAGCCTTGAGGACCACACGAAAGTCCCCGAGTTGCTTTACCTCGGTAGCTGGTGCTGTCGAGGATTCAGCTGCACTTTTCACACGAGCCAAGTCATCGAGCTCTTTGTGTTGTCTGCGAAGTTCGCGAAAGTGCCGCGCAAACAAAGTGGCTGCAGGGAGAAGGTCAGGAGGAAACCTGACATTGTACTTGGCGAAGAAAGCATCTTCTTGGCGTTGCCGGACTTCTGGCGGAAGAGGGGCCTCGAGGTTCTCTTCTTGTGGGCCAGAGGAGGTGGCGCTCAAGTCTTGCTTGGCTCGGGCCCATGCCACGCGCAAGCGGGCAAGCTGGATCCGATTGTCCTTGAAGGTCTCAGTTTTCTGGAGAACTTCTTTCAGCCCGTCTTCATAGTCAGCCTCGGTGTACAGACCCACAAAGTCTGCTACGCTCTCACACCCCATGTGCTTGAGAGAGTGAAAGACTTCTGCGGCGACCTTGTGTTCATTGACGAGCAGGAGCTCGAAGCGCTCCACGCCAGAAGCCATGTCAGAGACGGAAAGCCACGATTTGAACGGAAACTGCGGGTGACAGGAGGCACAATATGCGTCACCGCCCGAAACCCGGAAAACAAATAAAAATACACATGTGCAAAACTTCAAAGCACTTGAAAACGTGAGCGCAGCGACCCGGTGTGTGCCTGTTTCTGCGCAAGCGGCTAGCCGGATCACGAGCGGGGCGTTGCCCGGGACAGGATGGCCAGCCGAGTTTCGGGGGCCACTTTGAGGAGACACGGCGCACAGAACTTTCCATGAAGGTCCAGCGCGGCCGTGAGCCCAGTGGCCCACACAATACCCTGTTGACGGAAAACACGACTGGAGCACAGCGGTGTGAGACTTTGAGGTTCTGCAGCAGCATGCCAGAGGCCTTTGGCCGGGTACACAAAGCAGACGGACTCCGGATCGGTAGGAGCATCACCGGCCGGGGCCAGCAAATACTCCGTAGAGGCATCACTGGAAGGGGAATCAGAGCCCCCAGAGGAAGATGCTCGCTCCGTGGACACCGGGCTGCTTTCAACAAGATCCGGCTCCGGGATGGCACGCACGCCAGGACCCCAAGAGGAGGTGGCGATGTTCTACCGCAAGCGAGCGACATGGGGGGCCACCGCACGGAGGCCAGACCATGAGTCGCAAAGCGGCGCGTGTTTAAGCAGATGGTGGACCGAGGCTAAGCACAGCCGCCGAACCTGCGCAGCAGACTCCAGTCGCTCCGAGCTGTACCGAACAGGAAGAGGCAGCTTGCGGCCATCGGACCAATTGCCCAAGCAGAGGCGATCAGAGTCGCAAAGCTGGAGGGCATCCGCAACGGTTGGAAGGAATCGACGAAAACTACGTGTGGAAAAAGTTGAAGCCGCGTGCTCAGTCAGCGACAGGGGTGGCAAATGCAACAGGGAGCGGGCGAAGGCCTGGAAGCGGGGATAATCCGCAGGCGCAGACCGGAGCACCACACTCCCCTGAGCATCAAACCACATGTCTGGTAAGAATGGTGTTCCGACGCCTAAGATAGCACGCACTCGTGCCTGCACATGGCTCAGTAGAGGATGTCCCGGTTCAACGTACATCGGCAGAGCGACAGCAAAAGGCATACCATCCTTTCCGTGAGAGACCTTCCAGACACCCGTGCGTATCGAAGAGAGCTCGGGCTCAAAACTCGCACGAGCGCAGTGTTTGAACCTCAGGCCAGAAACTGCGAAGCGAATGACCAAGCCAGCGGCCAGGGCAAGGGACGACGTAGAAGAGGATGTGGCCAACTGCAGCAAATGCCTCCAAACTTGAGCAGACAAAGTTTTCACTTGCGTAGGCCAGGTAGTGGTGGCACCGGAAGCGGCGGTAAAGTCTTTCAACATTGGCGAGTCCAGCGGGAAGGAGACTTTCAAGTTGTCAGTGAGCCATCGTAGGTGGTTGTACACTGAAGCTGGTACTGTGCGACCTCTGCGTCCCTGCGCCTGAAGGAACTGGTGGAGAAGGACATCACTGACTGGTCCCAGGGCGGCCTCGGTCTCAAGCTGCCACTGCACAAGCCGGTTCCAAGTCCGAAGGACAGCAGCGAGCGTTCCAGGCTGAAAGCGCGCGAGCAAGGATTCAGCAGTGGTGGCAATCCACACCTCGCGGGCTGTCCCGGAACGTTGAAGGTCTTCCATGGCAAAGCTCAGGCCTGGGTGGAGAACAGCCTCGACCAGAGCCACTGCAACATTCTGGTGCTTATACTGCCGCGTGCTGGATACGGTTGGCTGATGCGGTCCCGTTGGCTTGAGAAGGCCTCGTGCGGGAGCAGAAGCCGAAGAAGATATGTGGGGGCCTGATGGAAGAAGCTGCTTCCAGGTGTGCATGCGAGGCTTGCAATGGAGGTGCCAAACTTTTTTGCGTAGTGATTCCAGAGTCGGTTCAGGGACCTCAGTAGGCAGTTCGTCTTGTAACTCCTCCAGGGTCAAACCAGCAAGGTCACGGGCATCAAAGCCTTTGGCAGAGAGCATATCCAAAACTCGTTCTTCTGCCGGAGTGAAGATCATGGCCACTGCGATGAGATCAGGAAAGGACCTAGAGACAGACAATTAAGATGGTGACTGAAGCCTGAGTGGGCGGAAATGCGTGCCAGTGAGATTCAGTGATGGAGTGTGCACCCAGCGCCTGCCAGGCCTAAACACACCTAGCATTGACTGCGAAATATCCAGAAGAGACCCTTGGCCAAAGAGACATTCCTTGGAGACAAAGCCAGGTGAATTTGTATTTGACCCACTTCAGTCGATTCAGTGATCGTTTGGGAGGATGAAAGCTCATGTCTTCTGCCAGCTCAAACATGGAGTCAACGAACAGGGATGCCCGCAAACTCATAGAGACTTCCACTTCCCTCCTTTTGCAGTGCAGATCATGTTTCATGTATAGGCCATGCTGTTCATGGGTTTACCTCTTGCAAGGAGAACTGCAAAGGAGTCGCAGACCTTCCCAACCCACCGCAGCGTTCGGCCAGCTCCGAGCGCGCTCGCGGAGCTGGCTGCTTGCGTCCAGCCTTGCTCTCCAGCTGCTGCAAACGAGCAGAGAGCCTCAGCAAGGAATTCTTCCACCGGAGCAGCGGCTTGCCCAGATCTTGTCCAGAAGGGGATTGACCCATAGGTTGGTGTAAACAATAAATCACCTTTTTTCCGCCAACACCAGGAGATGTAGTTTCCTCCCCGAACCTCTTTCGTTGTTCAACACTCTTCACCACTGGAGGGTCCCCCCCCATCCCGCGCCAATGACGTTCCTTCTTCAGTGCGCCAGTCCGGAGCAGTCCGACAGTCCGGAGCTGAGCTCTTTCGAACGAAAATCGCATTGCTAAAATCAGATCAACACCTTAGAAAAGAATAGTCATAAAATACAGAACAACATCCCACAACTAGATCAACACATAGATCATAGATCAAACTATCCTAAACCATCTAAGTCAGATCAACACATGTTTTTGTTGGCAGTCCACCAACCTGAACCTCCATGCTTTGAAGCACCTTACGAACACCAGCATCGCACCGACATCTCACGAAGACTCGCCACGGCGACGCCACGGCGACGCCCCAAGAAACGCATCTGCGACGGTGGAGACCTGGGGCCCCCGTGGGACTGGTGGAGACTGGCACATGGAATTCATATGCAGTTCTTCAAGAAATGCTTAGTATATATATATATATATCACTGAGAGACTGCTGTTCTCTTTGCTTTTCTCCTTGTTTTCCTGCAGATTTGACTGTAAATGAAAGCTTGCCACCCGTTGCGACCTGATGCCCCTCCCGCAAGATCCGGGAGCCAGCATGCCGCAGCATGCCAGTTGTCTTCGTGGCCGAGAAAACTTCATGCATAGCACATTCTGCTGAAATGTTTTTCACAAAGATCCGGGTGAATTCAAAAGTGGATTCACAAAGGACTGTTTCTCGTAAGATTCTAGATAAATTACTATTACGCATTAAATAAATTCACGACAGGACAGAACCTCAAAAGTTTTCCCCGCTTCTCCTGACACACGGCCCTGGCGGCCTGCGTCGACGACTTGGGCGTCTTCACTTTGGCTTCAGTCTCCTGCGGCGATTCGGCGATCCACGGAAAGCACATAAAACACATGGGGGGCGTCATGCTTTATGTGGTATTATGTGGTGCCCCTGGAAGTGTCATCTCTTGCAGTACTATAGATGTCTAATGATGTCTACAGTATATGCATATATACTCCTAGACACACATACACAAGAACAAGAGTAACATCATCTACAGGCCGTTCATGGATTGTTATTGTTTGACCATTCCCCAAGGGCGCCGCTCAAAATTGCCCACAATCATAGGATCGGTAAATTCTTCCGATGGAGTCTTTCATCTTGGAGGTCTTGGCCAAGAGCACATCAGAAGCTCCCGACCAAATCATGGTTTGCCAAGGAATGACCAAATCTGGAAAGAGTCTAAGGAGAATTCCTGTCGTAGCACAGACCTTACGTATTTGAGCACTATTGTAATATCGCCAAACAACTTCGTAAAAAGCTCGTAGAATCTCCCATCCAAAACATAACTTCGGACTCCTTAAAATCTTAATGTAAATATGTTGTGAAATCCAATACATTGGAGTCTTGTCTTCGCTCAGAGTCTCTTCTCAGGGACCCCTCCTCCTCTGAGGACACTGGACTCTGTGCCCATGGAGTTGGCGGCTCATCAATCTTCCGCCTCGCGAAACGCCGCCCACGCAGCCCCGCTGTCGAGCTGTCAAGGCTGATGGTTCCTTCATGGAAAAGTCACCTGGACCCTGCAAACCACTGGTGCAGCTAGAGGAAGTGCGTATTTCCAGGTCCCATCTCAGGTTCGTGGGTCTCTTCCCTTACGTTGCTTTGTGGCTTAAACTGGTGGAGAACGATCTCTTCCTACGTCAACTGCGTCTCCTTGGAAAACACCACCTCATGGGACTCCTCGGACTTCTCGCGTCTCTTCGCTTCCCACGCCCGGGCCACAGTAAAAAGCACAATCGACACAGGTTGTTAAATAATAGCTGCCAGTGGTGGGTCTGTTGATTCATCACCAATACATTATATATATTATTATATATTCAATACACACTCTTTGAAAAAAAAGCACATGGACCGCTGCTTTCATCTACAACCCGTGGTCCTGTTTTTCAGGGTCCATGTTCGTGAACCAGCGGGGAAAGTGCCAGGTGAATCCCGTTGAGACCCATGTTCACCATGTTCAACCCCTCGCGGCCATGAGCCCAAAGCCGCAGGCACAAACCCGTGACTAAGGCGGCATGCAGCCGGAAGCATGTGCTGCGAGTTCGTTGAACGATCGGCTCAGGCGCGCCCGGCGCTCGCCACGGCGTCCTCGCCCGTCGGCTGAAGGCGTCGGAGAGCGCGTCGGAGCGCGGCTCCACGGGCTCCCCCTCCGTCTCGATCCTCGAAGTCGCCTTGTACCCCTCTCCTTGTCATGTTCAGCCAAATTGGCCTGACAGGTCAGACATGGGACATTCTCAGAAGGTGAGTCATTGGGATTCTTTTTTTCAAGCTGTTGTCACGAAGTCAAAGGCACACGGTTTGGCTACATCACATCTATAGAATCTAACATATCAATCATCATCTCCAAACTTGAAAATGGAAAATCTTTGAAACGAGGGCATTTACCAGGACAATGATTTCTTACCACAGATCTAAATCATGAACATAGGCCCCCACAGGCCCCCCATGAAAGAAGAAACACGGATTCTTCCGCTTCGGTTGCCTCATCCCAGCTCACTCCACGGTGGTTCGAAGCGTGGTGGCCATCCAAAGGCCTTCGGTCGTTTGTTTCGATCGTAGGCTAGGAGAGGGTAAGCCATGCATAGCGGCCCAAATCTCACATGTTTGTATCGCATTTGATCGTCAAAAGACAATTTCTATATGGTCAGAGATGTTATCGAGTCCATTTGAGCTGGAACATCTGGTCACAATTAATCAGTGGATACATATGGATACTATCTGTTCAATTTCTGCCTAGCTATCACATCTGCAAGGACGAGCTGGTGACTCTCAAAGAAGAATGCCAACCGCTGGAAAACAACAAATTACAATGCTCTATATTAGATGGACGCATGTCTTTGACTATCTACTATATAATAGATTGGCCTCTTTTCAAGATACCTGGGGTGGTAGCAGGGTAAACAAACGCATCAGGAGTACGTACGATGAAGAGTACATGCTGGTAAATGAACATGTGCAACCGTGGCACTGGAGGTTTGTAGAGTCAACGTACATAAAACAGTTCAAACATGTTGGATAAGTTCTATATGCTAAAACAGGCACAACATTTTTTAAAATGACATTGTATGTTACCTATACAACACATTTTTGCGCTTTGTGCTGAACATCTCTGAAGTCAAATGCAATAAAAGAAATAAGCCTATAATTACGAGGTCCCTAGTTGTGCTGACTAAAATGATTCCTATAATATATGATTCCCAATAAGCAGAACTACATGGGTCCTACACTTATGTAATTCATCCATATTCATATATATAGGATAACAATAATATATCGAATAAAATATATATATATATATCGTATATCTATATTATATATATCTTATATATCCATCATTATTCATCACTATCTTAATCCTATGTCGTGCATTATTGTTGGAAAATTGGCCTCTTTTCAGCCTGCCCCATACCAGCATTCATCCCTACTTTCCAAGATTGATAAACATTGCTGCCAGTGGTCACATGGTCCTCTGACTATTGTGACAGTTGCTCCGCTACCTTGCCAAGCTACACTGAAAAATTTGTGGATGCCACACATCAAGGTGAGTCAAAACATTGAACAAAGTCATCCAATACAAAGTATTGCCAGGACCGCGGAAAGGGTGGTTTATGGACGCAATTACTATGTATTTTCCATCCAATAACCACCCCTTCTCTGGTCCTGGTCCTTCTCTGGTCGTGGGCCAGACCGGCACGGACACCCTTCTTAGGGCTTAGGACAGCAACGATCAACAATGCGTGTGGCGAAAGCTGCGTGTGGCCCGCGAAGTGCCGAAGTCTCCTGTCTTCGCCCGACGGTTCGGACCGTTGGGACGGCCCGTGGAATGTGAACGAAGGACGCGCGCTGGACGGTCATCCGGCCTCTTGCAGCTGCCCAAGATGGTCCTCACCGAGCTCCGGTCGGACGCGCCAGCCGCGTCCGAAGAAGCTTCGGCGGAGATGCCTGAGGAAGCTGGGAGCCCGGGGAAGGCCGGGGAAGGCTGGGGGATCGCATCAATGATGGGAGCAGGACATGTGTGGCTCGAGATTGGTCGGAAACAGAAAGTTTTTTGGGACTCTCTCTCTAGCACGGCCAATTCCAACCCTTCCAGTCTCCTCTAAAGCAGGCAAGTCTTCTGCCTGTGGTTACCTATGGAGTCATACGACATGGCTGGAGATGGAGGGGCCTGGAACAGCCCAATTCGACCCCCTGGAAGAAGGAAAATAGACCAGTCTACCCATGGGTTGGTACATGGTTGGTGTGGTCTCCCTAGTTACTAGTAGTAAATACACACCAGTTTGATCCCCTTGTGATTGTTTGAAATGAACAGCATGCCGCTGCCTTTTCAAGAACTTCTGAGCCAAAAGCTGTCCCCCAAGACCCCCTATGAGCCCGTCTTTTGGTGGATTTTCATGAATGCGTCCCTCCCTCAGAGAATGGGAATAGGATGCGAAAGGAGCTGGAGTTCTCCCTGCGAAAGCAGCCGGTCTAACCGGTCTAACTGCCCAACATCCAGCAGCGGGTCCTCACCCACGGGACGCGAATCATATATCCAACGAAGCAAATCATCGAAGCCCGGTCCGCATAGAGTGGATTGAGAGTAGATGGCACAGACATGCAAACAAACCCCAAGAGGTGGTTTATATGAACCCCCATGTAAAGAACATCTTGAGGTCTGTGCCATCTACTCTGAACTCTAGCTTTCAGACCGTTTCAGCCTGACACCTTCAAAGTGACGTCCGAATAGACATCAATTATGATCATGACGTCCCAGTCTTCGATCACTTTTGAAGGCTGCGTTCAGGTGACCTCAGTTGGAATCTCCTTCTGGTCACTATTCTCTAGTCTTACATTCTCAGGACCAACCAACCTGAATAGGTTCCTCGCCCCAAACACGTTTTGACACAGGATTTGCCACCCATCTCAGTAATTGAGTGATTGAGTCAGTGTTTTTTTGAGTGATTTAGAGTCAGTTGGAGTCAGTTCTTAGTTCAATGAGTCACTTAGAGTCAACATATCCTGTAGAAATCCACAATGCTTCTGTGCATAGAATGACATTGCTGCTTTGCTGTGGTTCCTGGAAACTGGTCGACCACACACACCACATATGTTTCTGTTTAACTGTTTCATCACCCAAGCATGACCCGCACTTCTCCCCCCAAAGCCGCCTTCCTTCTCATCCTTCTTCTCATCTCCCATCGAAAAAGCTTGCGGTTCACGCTGTGACAGGGTGGATGTTGCGACACAAACGCAAGGACCAGGAGACTAGGGGCGACAAAGTCGGCCCCCTCCCTGGTGGGGAAGTCTCAAAGGGTAGGCTGGGTAGACTGGGTAGACGATTCCTGGAATTTCTCTGGATGATAAGCTGAGATTCCTTCGTGAGGACCCACACCGCCAAGGAGAAAGTGTGCTAAACTTGCGGTTTCCAAACTTGCAACCGGATCACATCAACATCATAGCCTTCGAGGAGGAGTTCTCTCTAGCTTGGCACCGGAGTTGACTAGTGAAGAGGAAAGTAAAAGAAGGCCTGACCTGTGTCAACAGTAATAATAAACATCATTCAAAAAATATTACCTTACATCACCTTACAATAAAAAAAAATACATCCCAAAAAGGATTCCGCTTAAAATGACATGTCCCTGAGTTCTGCACCCGGCGTGTCTCCTGTGTGTCTTCTGCACACAGACTTTGAAAACAGCTGCAGTCGAAGGACGGTATGGGAGCAGCGGACTTGCCCGTACGGAAAAGCATGAAAATGTGTACGGATTCTCATTCTTCACTAGCATGAGGCCATAAATGGGCAACAAGAAGCTATACTAGTAACAAGGGCATCGCAACTAGGAGCAAAGGGCATCGCTACGAACGGAGCAAGGTCGCTACTAGGGGCGCTCCTGGTGATATCTCTTCTGACGGGTTTTCTCCGCAATAGCCAAATCAAGCGAAAGCGCCACTGGCTTTCTCTCACTACACTCGTCGTCACACTACACTCGTCGTCACACGTGCCGATTGGCCGGTCGTTTCAGCCGTTCAGCTTCGACGACCATCACCACATCTGCGGCACGAAGACATTCTGAGGATGATACATACAGGGTGCAGGCTCTCTCCCAAGTGGTCGTGAAAAGACTTCCTTCACCCATGTCGTGCCCGTAGGATGTCTGAGCATGTCGAAGCAAAGGTAGTTGGGGGAGGGAAGACCGGTCTTCAGCATCAGAGGTTTGATTAAACATGCATCGGCACATGTCGTCCTGCAGAGTGTGACAACCACGCACTGAGTGCGACGGCAACTGAGTGAGACGGCATTGTCATTGGCAAATGCTGCAGAGATACAGCTCACACTCCATCTAGCAAAGGCTTGGGAACTTCCTGTAGCTCCTTAGCTCCCTGTTTCATGGGGAATATGATGGAATATGGATGTTCGATGCTCAATGTTCGATGCTCCAGCTGATCCCGTGCGATTGTTTGTTTTGGGAGTCCAATAGCCAATATAGAGTCATCATGAGTCATCAAATATCGCAAATATACTGGAATCCAAAGCTGACGTTGGAAGTACTTTGTGGCAGGCTTGGTGCGCCCAATCCTGTGACTCAAACCGTCGCCTCATTTGTTTGGCAAAAAGACCTGACGGGTGAGGTGTGAGTGTGAGGTTGTGCAGTTTGGAAGGATGAGACAGAAAACACATACACCCCCCATCTGAAGATTAAGGATGATGGCAGTGACATGGCTGCCATCCTAGCATGGTTAAAGTGCTTTAAGTAATAAACTGTTAAAAGGAGTCGCCACGGCCATTCAGCAGCACTGGCAAAGGTTTGTTTTTCCGGCACCAAAGTCGCCATGGTCAGCCTGAGATGACTTTGGATTCCAAACCTTTTAATGACTTGACACGTTTCTACGGAGCTCATGCACGTCATGTCCGGTCATGTGCGTACGGCACGCGGTAAACCGGGTGGTGGTTTGTGAAACGGGCCAGCTCAAATGGAGGAGACACTTGGACAAGCTATAAACCACATGTTTTCCATTGAATGTAGACCCTTGATTAATAACCCCATCATATGAAGAGGTGTTTCAATTCAAGTGATGGGGGTTCATTAGCTGGAAAGGTTGTTCCAATTGCCTGGTGCCCAGCCGATCGTCTCCAGGTCAACGGCTCGGAGCCGAAGAAAGAGGCCGATCTGGGCGCGCGCGCCTCGTAGTATGGACATCCAGCCTGGGGGTCGGAGGTCTGCGGAAGAAGAGAGGTTCCTTCTGTCCGTTCCAAGCCAGAGCACATGGTCAGCCGAAAAACATGCACCCCAAAGGGGGATGTTTTTTGGGTATGAGATTCGTGATAGGGTCAACTTGTGGTCGTTTCAAACCTCGGTAGCGGCGACGTTTGGTAAAACGACTCTTAAGGCGACTCTTAAGTCCTCCTCGCCCGAAGCTGCGTCAACGCAGTGACATGGCATGGTTCAGCTCCATGGACCCGCGACAAATGCTGAGTCCCCAGCGGACTCGGGACTCTCCCGTATACGCTCTATAGCATACAACTGACTTATGTATATGTTTTTGTTTAACACTCAAAATCACTCAGACTCAAACATACCAACAAAAACGACAAATGCCCAACGACACGTGTTGTGTCAAAATCATTGACGGCATGTGACGTCGCACGTCTCTCGGCTCGAACGTCGGTCCTCGGCTACGTCTGTCTCTCTCTCTCTCTCTCTGACACAGCAGAACCACCGGTGACCGGTGTCGTGTGACCGTGGCCCAGTGACATTGTTTTGCTTCCGGTAGTATTTCTCGACCTCCGGGACCGCCGCCACCAGCTCCTGGCGTTCATGGACCGACACCGACGGACCGCGCGAAAAGCACGCGACGCAAAAAGCGTGTGACTTGGGGGGGACTGCGCTGCTAGCCTCTGTTAGGAGAATCTATAAGTTTAAATCAGCTGATTCCTTTTCAACATCACCTCATCCAATGACTAGGAATATCAAAAAGACATGGCATGACAAGACCATCCAATGCAAGGTTTTCAAGAGGTTGACCATTTTAGGACTTCACAGTCCCGGCCTTGTGCTTTAAGATGTTCGGATATTCGTCCAATAGTTTTGGGCCAAGACCCTCCTTGGTGCGCAAAGGAGGCAAGATGCGCCGATGCCACATCGGGTATACAAAGAAACTCTTAAGCAAGGTAAAAGCTGAATGGTTGTCTCCCCCAACCCAGCTGATCAACTGGTTTGTTTGGGTTTCCCAAGCCAGCTTCAACCGAAGTATGTCATCTTGCTTGGGGGCCAACTTGCTGGACTGCTTCTGCCGGTAAAAACAGAGCTTCGCCATGGTCACCCGCCATCTGCCACTTCGAGACGGAGAAGCATCTGCCACAATCGTCCGCTTTTGCTTGGGAAATCAACGATGCACCTTGATCTAATGACCAATAAGTGTACTGTATTTACAAAGACAAGTTGAGTTTTGTGGAAGTTGCCAACATGAGCTTTGTAACTGTGTGTTTGATTTTAACATTATTTATCACTTCTATTTGTTAAAGACCTACCCCAGGTTCTCCTAGCATCAAACTTTTGCTGCCTACCAAATCACCTGTCTTTCACCTGTCTTTCAAAGTAGTACAGTTCAGTTCCTTCACCTGTCTTTCACCTCTGTTCACTACCTGTGATCATTCTCACCCAATTGAACATGGGACCAGCAAGTAGTCCCATTGCCTAAGCGATGGAGACATCGCCGAAGGTTCAGAGATGTTTCACGTGCTGCTTGTTGAACTTAATGACTACATGTAAACCCTGAAAGGCCAAGACCATCTTTTAAAGGTGGTTGATCTGGTTTTGCAGCGTAAAATCTTTAGTAAAACAATGGTGGTTCAACCATGTTCCACCTCCAGGGGTTTTCACCCACTGGATAAAGCAAAAAAGACCCCGAAGTCTTCTCTCACCGTACAAGTACAGGTCGCTTGTTTGTCCCCACTGGGTGCCAACGAGCACAACCGCTGGGCTTCCAGACGACGAAACCAGACCGCACCATGGTGAGGAATGCTGGCCATGAAACGCTTGGACACCGTCACACCGTGTAACGACGTCGATGTGGGTGGCGGTCCGCTGTTTTCCAAGTCATGTCCACAACGGATTAATCAATCCCTCCCCTTCAATCCCTTCAAGGTTCACAAGGTTTGAGATTGAAGACATTTGAAGACTCGAGCTGGGCTTGACTAATTGTTAATCCTGCGTACGCATCAAAAACACGGGTGGCACAGTTTTGGAGTATAAAAGGGTCATGTGATGTCATGTGGTTTCCCACAAACACAACAGCTATTATAGTATTATATAAGAAGCATGAAGCACGGTGGAAAAATGCCAAAACATTCTGAATCTAATGGAGAGTTGCTTTATGTTTGGCTACAACCCTGTCAGGGTTTAGCAGCGTGGCAGAGTTTCTTGGACCCATATAGGGCTGAACGCACAGATTTATTTCTGCTCATGTGGCTGACTCAGCTTATAATCGATTAGTTGATTCTTGCCTTCTACGCATGCCAACCAACTACTCGGTGCGGAACACTCTGACTCTTGGGCTTTCGCCCGAGGAACACGCGATGGGCACTCCCGCCGCATCAAGGCACTCCCACTGTGAGGCGGAGGAGCGGGTATTGACACGTTTGCGAAATCTGTTGTCTGTTGTTCACTGTTTGGCAATCTTCACTGTAGAAATATGTGTTAAGAAATGATTACCCATCTTAAGTTTCACTATCATATTGCGAAATCGGTTCATTTAGTTTCTATTTTTGGCAATCTTTGGTACCCCCTGTTGGTTGCACAGGTATTGCAAAGCAAAGCACACTGATTGGAGGCCATGGCGTATGGTGCCCATATTTGGCTAATACCCGTGACCGTCGCTAAGATCCCCTTGTCCTGGGATACAAAAAAGGCCTGGAGAAGGTCACTTAGGCCTTTAGGCCTGAGACTCCAAAGAAGTCACTGTGAAGACCTGTTCCACGCCTTCGTAACTGGTCACGCCGTCATCGTTCTGTCTATCTCCATTCCGATCGAAGCTGCGCGGTCCGAACAAGGACGCACTGCAGGGGGTCGGGACTTGAATTGTGAATGTTCATTACTTTATATTGTTTGTTTGTTTGTGTTTGGTGTGTGTTTTTTTGCGGTTCTCAATGGGAAAGGCAAAAATATTACAAGTATAGATTTTGCCTAGAAGAGTCATCAAAAGCAAAGAATGCAATAGAAAATTCATCAAAAGAGAGCTTTCAATATAAATGTAATAAAAAAGAGATGACTGTAATGGACCAAA